CTCTAGGGCCTGCTGGAAAGCTGCCTGGGGCCTGGACTGATCAAGGAGAGGACATCTCCTTCTGAGACTGGGCGGCAAAGGCTCAGATCTGCTAAGGTACTGCAGCGTCCCACCTATCCAGGAATGAGTGACTCTGGGTCTTTGTACTGAGGCAGAACATGGCAGCTTCACAGAACAAATTGGTGGGAGGTCCCTGCTACCAGCCAGAGGATGTCCCTTGCTGCAGAAGAGCTGAGGTCAGAGTAGATGGATCCCCACTGGGGGTGGCTCAGTAGGGATGAAGCCACATCTACCAGCTGTTTGTACAGGTTCTGAAGCACAGGCCCAGAGGACAGGAAGCTTTTCACAGTGGTCAGGAGGGCTGAGTTCTCCAGGGGTTCCAGGTGCTGCAATCCTCAGGCTAAGGCAGGCAGGCCCAGGGGAGTCACATCCATTGGCTCCCACATCTCCCAGCAACAGCCAGATGAGGAGAAGTTTTCACAGGGGGAAACCCACAACAAGGTTTGAGAGTAGCTCAGTGGGAGAGCACTTGCCCAGAATGCCCGAAGCCCTGGGTTCCTTCCCAGCATCACATACACACACCCATGCACATGCACACATGTACACATGCCAAACTCCCAAAGCAACTAGAAAGTCCTTTCCCTGAGATCACTACATGAACATCATCCTCAGACTCCTTCTAACTTGAGTTTTTAGCTGCTCCAAGTATTTAGGAGGGAGTGATTTATAGCAATGCTAAGAAAATAAAAAAAACACAATTGGGACAGTGTCCAGAAATCCTAAACAGCCAGGAATGAAGGAATGAGCCAGCCAGTCCTAGCTTTGCAAGACTTGGAAGGGAAATTCTGTTGTTGTTTGAGACAGGGTCTTGCTCTATGGTTCAGCCTGGTTTTCAATTTTCTATCCTCTTGACACAGTCTCTCCAGTGCTGGGGTTATGAGTGTGTGCCACCACACCCAGCCCTTAAAATTCCAACATATGAGAATTAGCTAAATAGCACAACAACACTTCCATTCTGCAAAAGCAAAGGGACAGCGAGGGTGGCTGGGGCACAGGTGTATGGGCCTTGAGGGCCTTGTTCCAGCATGAATGTGGCAGGGGCGTTCCTGACACCAAGGCATCTGTGGGGAGCTGCCATCAGCACCTACTGAGCACTGGCTAGCAGGAGGCACAGGCTGGGCTCCAGAGCCCTGAGGGAGGACTGGCTTTGAGAGCAGGAAGCAGTTCATTGAAAGGGGTCGGTGACCTGGCAGTGAAATCTAGGGAGGAGACAGGAAAGGAACAACTCAGGTCACTGGACATTTCTCCGATGCTCATCAATCAGTTCTAGTGTCTTTGAAGTGCTAGCTACATGCATGGGACACTTTCCTAACCAAACCTTTTTTTTTTTTTTTTAATAGTACCAGGGATTGAACTCATGACTTTGCACTTGCCAAGCAGATGCTTTGGCACTGAGCTATACCCCTGGTCCTAAAACTTTTTAAAAAAATATATTAGCAAATCTGCTTTAGAAAGTACTATACTAGACTTCCGGGAGAACATGGCGGACAGATAACAGCAACTACCGGAGGCTCTCTGGAAAACTAGGCTCAGAAGCCAGGTATGGTGCGGACTAAAGAGACATAAGCAGGTGGAGTTATGCTCTGCTGACTCAGGAACAAACTCGGCTGAGAGAAACCAACTTGGAATGCAGTCCTGGTGCTAAAACAGGAACAGAAAAGTCTCGCTGCTGAGGCTGGACCCTGCGCCATTGGAAGCCACGATTTGGGTTTCCCGCCGTGCGGCGGCTGGCTGCCTCTACATCGGCTCGGCAAGGAGAGAGACGCGCAGAAACTCTGAGAACGGGAATCTGCGAACGGAGTCGAAAACAGGACGGGCAGGGAGGCATGTTCTGACTTGTGGCGAGGTGAGTGAGAGAAACTGACACTCCACCACAGTTTGACTCCAGCGGACTTTCTGGGCCCGAGCAGTCCTGCGGGAGCAGGGCGCGGTGGAGACTCCAGCCACACATTCCCCTCTCGGGCGGGATTGGTGAAAAGTGCCTGGCCTGCGTGACGCTGCCGGCGGACCCCGTAGGCTGGCCCAAACCAGATCCCAGAGCCTGCCGGAAGCCAGGAGGGGCGGGCCTCCGCGTAGGCTGCCTGGTGCGCAGCGGTGAGTGGGAACACCTAACCGGCGCAATTCGATCAGGCTGTGGCTGGCAGGGAGAGAAGCTGGGCCTCTCATATAAGCTTGCATATATAACAAACAGAGAATATGGGAAGAGGCAGCAACAAGAAAGGCTCCTCGGCCCCCAATTCTGAGAAACAGGCAATAGCAGACACCGCACCAATACACATAAAGCACCATATAGAGAGCCTCATAGACCAATTCAGGAATGAAGTTATCAATGACCTGAAGCTAGAAGTATGCAAAATAGTTAGAGAAATGCTAAGCCCCACCCAAGAAAAAACAGATGGTGGAATGGAAGAACAGAAAAAGAGGGGAGAATTGTTTGATGGAGAAAACAGGGAAAGCATAGAATACGTGAAGCAGGTTCAAAGGGACTACCAAGAAACTAAGAAGTCTATCGAAGACTGGCATAACAGCTTGAAAGAAACTAAGGACAGACTATCTGAACTGGAGGGCAGAATTGTAATATGGGAGAATGAAATGAAAAACTTCTTAAAAATAACAAAGAAACAAACAGCAATAATACAAAGACAAGAAGATGATAAGAGGATCCATAACTTAAGGATTAAGAACATAAAAGAAGAAGTAGGGACACAAACAAGTGAACTACAAAAGCTACTCACAGAAATAATCCAGGAGAATTTTCCTAATTTAGCAAAAGGTAAAGATACTCAGATGTATGAGGCATACAGGACCCCAGCTACCTACAACCCAAACAGAGCAACACCCAGGCATATAATAATAAAAATTCCAGAAATTCAATACAAGAACAGAATATTAAAAGCTGTCAGAGACAAGAAACAGACCACTTACAAGGGAGCACCCATCAGAATTACAGCAGATTTCTCTGCACAAACCATCAAATCACGAAGAGCGTGGGGGGAAATAATTCAAGCTTTGAAAGATAATAATCTCCAGCCAAGATTGAGATATCCTGCACAACTGTCCCTGGAAATTGATGGAAAAACAAGATGCTTCCAGGATAAAGAGGAACTGGGGGAATTTGCAACCACCAATTCAACTCTACAGAGAGTATTGCAGGATATTCTAAAAAAAGAAAAATACAAAGAATCCAGAAATAGTGGAGGCCACAACTAATGGAGCAGAGAACAAAGTGAAGAAGACAAACTGACAGCTACTGACAGAATAAGAGCTCAACAGAAATGAGGCAGAGAAGATTGGATGATAGGAACAGCTATTTTGGAGAAAATGACATCTTAATAGGTAATACTGATTTAGTACCATCTTGTTTTGAAGTCTCATCTAGCTTTTGTCCTTCTGTCTCCAATGGTCTAAATAGGTTGTATCTTACTGGATTTTATTATGTATGATAGTATAAGCAAAAACCTTTTAAAGACAAGGAGATTATACAGAAATCATTATTCATTTTCTGTTAGTCGGTTCTAAATATTCTGTAATGCTGTCATTCTCTTAAATGGTTTTACATTGTTTTGATATACTTAATGCTACAGTATACGAAGTTGTACTCAAGGATTTCAAGGAAAGAGACAATATGGTAACTACTTTTAGGTCAGGATTATCTGGTGGTGAAACACTATTCTGCTTAAATGGTTATGTTTTGATCTGTGCTGTTTAGTTGTTATGCCCTCTTTTATCTCAATCTCCACTCCATTATTTACTTTTTTAATACTTTTTTTAAATTTTTATCCTTTTAATTAATGGAAAAAATAGCAGGATATATTATAGTAACCCACTTTGACTTTCCATTACCTCGATTTAAAGCCCTGTATTACTCTCACCATCTGGTTTTTAACTGATGTTCCCCTATTCTGTTTTGCTGGATAGTATCAGGTTCGAAAATTTAGGCATCAGCTGTGAAGATAATGAGATTCATTATAACGCCCATTCTCGTTGACTTTTATCTACTTTTGAAGACCTACAATGTCTCCAATGGTTTGGTTTTGTTGGTTTTGTTCTTTACTGTTTTGTTCAATTGTATTATAACTAATGGTATAGGCAATTCTATTAGAGATAGCGGGAGGCATTATGGTAACCATTGTTGATCACCTTGTATTATGTTTTCACATTATCTATTATGTCCACCCTTTTGACTTGACCGATTCTGTTCTGTTATGTCACATTTGGTTTTACTCTCTTCCAAAAAAGTAATAAGAACCGTGAGAGCAATGAAACCCAAAATGTGTAATAGTCATTGTACAAAAGAGAGGAAAAGAAAGTGCTCTAAACTATATAACTGCATAAGTGTATAAGATAGAATATGATATCACAGAATTTTATCAGATCATTGAACAGAACTGTTTGCAGTATCATTGTTGGAATGTCCACTTTACAAGCTTTAATTTTGTGACTTGAACAATTATTTCTAAGATGACAATATGTAATCCATTAACTTGTGATTTCCTACTGTTCATTTTTTTTCTGCAAATCTGTATAACTTGTACCCTTTCTCTGCTTTTTTTTTCTCCTTAAATAAAATATTAAAAAAAAAAAAAAAAAAAAAAAAAAAAAAAAAAAAGAAAGTACTATACTAATTTACAGTGTACTTGGGCACAGCAATTTGGCTTTTTAAAAAGTAGCTTCATTAATTGGATCATCATTACTCCTTTTTGATTGTGCTTACTATTATAAAATGGTTCATTTTTATATTTGCATTGTTTTAACTATTACTAGTAAAATGACCATATTTCCATATATTCATATATATCAATTGTTTATCTTTGCTCTTTTATTAAGGTCTTAGTGGTAGTCATTTATATTTGAATAAATTGTTAGATATTGAATCTTCATATTATATTTATTTTAGTAATTTTACTGTTGCTTTGCTTCAGAAGAACAGAAATTACAAGTTTCTTTTTAAAAAGCCAAGGATTTTATTTTATTTTTATTTTATTTTATTTTATTTTATTTTGAAAGTATACAACAGAACAAGTCAGAATAAAGCCAACTAAGAATCGTACAGTGAAACTGGTACAGAACTTCACAGCAGGTTACCGGGATAACAGTAATACGTATCATAGTATATTTTGTTATCTTTATAATAGTTGTTCTTTCAATCACGTATATCAAAATGAGATGAAATATAGAACACTATAGAACTTATCAAAACAAAATACTGAATAGAGCAGTACCATTAATCAGAAAAGAGCAAAACAGTAATAAAAATATTTGCCTTCAAAGAAATGGTAAACGGAAGTATTTGCTATGGTCAACCTCCCAGGAGATGCTCAGATTTCTGGTTCCCATTTGCTAATGGGCGGGGGGGGGGGAGCAGGAGGATAGGGGAAGTGGGATATTTGACTCTAGGCCATGTAGCAGTAGGTCACTATTGCTAAGCAGGGAGGCAGGATGGTCATTTGTTTTCACAGCATCCTCAGTTCCAGCATGGCGTGGATCTCAGGAGACACTGCTGGTTCTCCCCCTGGAAGGGCTGCAGTCTGCCACCCTGCCTCCGCTTACCAGGGAGGGGAGGTGCTGGCTTGGCTTCCCAGAGTCCTAAGTTCCAACATGGCGTGGATCTCACGAGACACTGCTGGTTCTCCCCCTGGAAGGGCTACAGTCTGCCACCCTGCCTCCGCTTACCAGGGAGGGGAGGTGCTGGCTTGGCTTCCCAGAGTCCTAAGTTCCAACATGGCGTGGATCTCAGGGGACACTGCTGGTTCTCCCCCTGGAAGCGCTGCAGTGGGCCACACTGCCGCCGCTTACCAGGAAGGGGAGGTGCTTGCTTGAAAGCCAAGGATTTTCAACAGTCTGAAAATTTAATAGTGGCCATTCCCATTTTTGATTATCTACCTAAGTATCTGTGCTAGGGATCGAGCTCAAGGCCTCATGGATGCTAAACATGTAATACTGAGCATGTAAAACAGTATTTTACACTTTTAGTGGAAAAATGACGCACTTACATATAGTCTACAAATAAATATTGAATTTCATTTAGTATAAACAAAAAAATAACAATGTAAGTTAGTGAAATGTATTCTCTAAAATTTTTTTTTTCTTGCTGCTGTTCATTGTTGCAGGACCATTAAAAAGGTACATATTTGGTATTTTTCTTACCTCTATTCAAAGTCACTTTGGAAAGACCAAAATTTGTCAATTTAATATGACCCTCATTAAAAATCAGTATATTGCCTGATGTCAAATCCCTGTACATAAAACAAAAGGCAAATAGATAACTAAAGAAAAGACTAGTTTTATTTTTTAAATTTTTTTTTGTTTTTTTTTGTAACAAGTTCTTGCTATGTAGTTCAGGCTGGTTTTGAACTCACAGCAAACCTCCTGCCTGCACCTCCTGAGTGCTCAGATTACAGGCATGCACCACTGTGCCTAGTGAAAATCTAGGTGTTTTGTTTTGGAGACAGGGTTTCACAGTGCAGTTCAGTCTGGCCTTGAACTCACTTTGTGGCGCAGGCTGGTCTCAAACTTGCAACAATCCTCCTGCCTCAGCCTCCCAAGTGCTGGGATTTCAGGCATGCACCACCACGCCCAGCTGAAAATCTAGTTTTAATATTAAAATAGCTGAGAAAAAAAAAGAGTTATAGAGGAGGCAAATTCTATTTATTTCCTCTAAAATAAATGTATTTATTAGTGGCTTTGCAAACAATGGGAGAACTTTCAAAAGAAGCTCTTTGGTACATCTGAATCCACAAAATGTTAAATGATTTAATTTTAGATTATCTGTGACATTGTTATATTTTCCATGAAAAATAATCACATTACATAAAATAATCCACAAGCCAGTTCAAAATTGTGTATCTTCTTTTCTGTTAATGTAAGATTAAGCTTTAACAGAGCAGAGTAACTTAACCTTTCTTTACACAGAACAAAGTAGTGTAAATCAGCTAGGACTATACAGTATGGAACTTTTGTATGAGGGCAAAAGAGTGGAAAAGAACTGAAATCTTTCCACTGAAATATTATGTTCATATTCAAAGTAACATAATTTCAAACACAGGGAGACAAAACAGTAGGTAAGAGAATTTCTAAACTCACACAAGTTACTATTAAACCTTAATCTGGAAATATGGGCAAATGGTTACAGTAAATATTTGATATCCAAACATTTAACACATAATTTGATTTACCTCTGGATGATTTCATGTCTATGAAGTTAGTTGAGAGCCAGCCCTACTTCAGAAATATACTTCACAGCCATCTCTTCATCAAAATAAGCATATATATGAAGAAGAGACTTGACATCTCCACCAAAAAGATATTCCATTACCTATTAAAAAGAATTTAATAGCATGAAATAAAAATATGCTTACTGGGCCAGGGATTTAGCTCAGCAGCACAAGTGCCTGCCTGGCAAGTGCAAGGAGGGTCATGAATTTGATCCCTGGTACCAATAAATAAATAAATAAATAAATAAATAAATATATGCTTACTTATAGAGTATTTGGGCATTATAGTATAGTTGTGTAACAAAGCACATTGGGGGGGGGGTCTTTTCTTGAGTCAGTGTTGCTGTGTGCAGTTCAGGTTGGCCTTAAGATCACTTTTGTAATTGAGGCTGGTCTTGAACTCACAAGGATCCTTCTGCCTCAGCCTCCCAAGTGCTTGAATTATAGGCATGTGCCATCACTCCTGGCTATAAAACACAAAGAGTGGACAGACAGCTTCAAATACACTGCTGCAAAGATGAAAAGATTGACATAGGACATATTTCAGCCTGCTCTTTAAATAAAAGCACATTCCAGATTTCACAATAGAAAATGTGAAGAGAAAAAGGAGGCTTGTTTAATGAGATCATTGGTTGTACAGCAGCTTAAATACTGATTTATTGCAAATGGATAGAATTAAATGTAACCAGCAATCGTGTGTTGCAAACTTAAATGAAAACCCTAAACTTAAGCCTGGTAAAGGTCAAATTAGTGAAAAGCGTCCAGAAGATACATGAAATGAATAGATAATACTAACGTTTAAAAATTTTAGGAATGAAATTATCAGAAAATAATGAAGTTCCCGCCTGGTTAGGTCAAACTTGAAATCAGTGCTGACAAACTAATCATTTTGCTGTGATAGAAAAATTTCAGCAATCTGTATTTCGAAGCAAGCGACAACCACCAACTACTTAAAACTTTTTGGATTCAGAAATATCACTCTGCTGTGGGTTAGACATGAATCAGAGCAGCGGCTTCAAAAGTTCCTTTGCACGCAGTTTCCTCCTTCGTTAACACTGGACCGGGCGAATATGGTCAGGTGTTGCTATTTTCCCTGGGCAGTGGATGATTCCTAAGATACGGAGAGAAAGGCAGGGCAGAGGCCAGACACCTCACCGACTGCTGCGGCCAGCCCAAAACAAACAGTCGGCTCTGCAGGCTTCAGCAAGCCCTGCGGCCCCCAAATCAGGGGGCAGAAAAGAAGACGGAAGGACCTAACTCCCTTTCTCGCCTCTTCCCACACTTCCTACCTTGACTGCGTACAACTTGTCGCCTTTCTGCCCCAGATACACTTTCCCGAAGGCACCACGACTAATGGGCTTCACTATGGTGAATTCTTCAATGGAGGGTGGTCTTGGAACCGGGATTGTATTCATCCACTCCCCGGTCGCCGTGCCTTCTGTATACTCCTTGCTCCCGGCGGAGGGCTCCATCGCAGGACAGCGCCCTGGACTCTCCCTCAGCCTCGGCTCCCGCCAACTGCGTTGAAATTTAGGCCACGCCTACTGCGCGCGCAAGAGTGACGTCACCGCGGTGCCGCGCGCGACCCAAGGCAGCCCCGCCCGTGCCGCCCCAGAGCCGCGCCAGCCGATTCCGCGAGCGCCGAGGTGCGGGCTAAGCCGCTGACCTCTCGAGGGCGGTCGCCACGGCCCACTGACATCATTTGTCATGAGGGACGAGGCACAGACAGTTGTTGAAGAGTGGGGCAGCTGGGACCCCGAGACCCGAATCACGGGTTGTATGATGCGATTGCTGCGCGACTGCGGGATCCGTCCGGCCGGAAGTTCCCCCTCCCCGGCGGCTGCCAGCCCCGCCCCGCGAGACGCCCGCGTCAGCTGGGCTGTCCCCCAAAGCTTGGCCGCCCTGTGCGAGTCTCGGGAGAGGGAGACGCTAGACGTGCAGGACGCGTTGACCCAGTCTAGTGTGATATTCCAGGATAGAATTCGCCTGACGTGAACGGACAAAGGCCTACAGGGAAACCTCCGATTTATCGTGAGGAAAAGAGTACACTACATTGTAGCAACCAAACGCTGTTAGCTCGCGGCTCAGCTGTGACCAGGAAATACGGTGAGAATGTGATAAGGAAGCTGGAGGACGTCTGAGAAAGGAGAAGTAGGGTGAAGCCCTTTCCTTAAAGTGAAAACACACAGCCGAGGGGCTTGGGGATCCCATTGCTTGCCAACACAAAAGCTCCGGGCCGCCTGCAGACGCACGGCTGGCCCGTGCCCCGGAAGTGATGTTGCGTCCGCGCGTTGGCTTCCGGGGCAGCCTGCAGTGGTAGCAGCCATAGCGGGAGGCGGCCATTTTTGTTGCTGGGTAGGGAGAGGGGCTGGGTAAGAAGAAAAAGGATTTAGGGACGGGCACAGCGCCTCCCTGCCGGGCCGAGGACGGAAGGACAGTTTCGGCTGGCGAGAGGGGTTGCTGAAGCCCGGAGGACATGTTTTCCCTGTCGAGTACGGTGCAGCCTCAGGTGAGCCCGGCCCGTGGCCGGTTTCCAGTTGCTTTCGTAGAATGTGTTTCGGAAGCGAACCGAAGAGGGAAGTGATAATCCCACGCGAGTTCTGCGGGTGAAAGTGGATAGAGCTGAGAGTGAGGCCTGAAAGCTGCCAACGAAGCATTTGGGGGCGGAGGCGTGATATAAGCGTGATGGGGACCGTGGCCTACCGGGTTGATCGCGTGAGATTTCTGCCCGAGAATCCGTCGAGCATTGTCCCAATCACGATTTCCGGAGTGGGGGTTGGGGCTATGGCTGTGCCTTGTTTACAGAGGGAGCAGGTAATGTTCTTTGTTTCCGACTCTTTTCCTTTTCAGTAGAATTTTAAACCGAATATTCTGTAATTTGAATAACTACCAAAAGTTTTTCTCTTTTTGGTTTGAAATAACATGAAGATTAGTAAACTTCCCGCATTTTGAATTTTGATTCAGCTTCATCTCCATTTGTAAAGCAAAAAAAAAAAAAAAAAGCAGGGAAAAATGATTTTTGGGAGCGCTCTATTACCCTTTTCCAAGAATAATCACTTGTGACAATGCTTTGTTCTTAATTCACTTCAAAAGTCTTTTTGGGTGGTACCATTTTGATAGATTTCATTTTTTCTTGAAAGTGCTCACAATTAGCAGACAGGTATTTTTTGAAACCCTTTAAGTTTTGTTGTTTAAATTGACACCCTTAACTTTAAGAGTATGGTTGTGTTTCTTTGTTTAGAACTCTGTGATGCTAGTAGAGTAATGACTGGATAATAGAAAACGTTGTGTTTGTTGGGTAGTGGGTGAACAAAGCAAATGTAGAATCTTTTATTACTTAGTTCAATGAAGTAAAGAGGAGTAAGAACTAAGTGACAATGAGCAGTTATCTTAGACTTAGAGCAGGGTGTCAGAAAATCCTCGGGGAGCAAAGAGTTTTATAGATTGGAGGAACAAAAAAGACTAATTTCGCTGGAACATTAGTGATTAAAGGTAGCAGTGTCAGGCATTAGATTTGCAAGAAGCCTTAAGAGAGTTTGCGTTTCTGCTTCATTTTAAGCCCATTAGTTACGGAGAACTGGTCTTGCTGTGCAGTTCATGCTGGCCTTGAGCTTACAGTGTAGCCCAAATAGTCTCAGACTTGAATGATCCTCCTGCCTCAGCCTCCCTAGTAGTTAGGATCACAGGCAAGATTTTCAATTTTTACTAGATCACTCCGACTTCTTCCCATGTGGAATATGAGAGGGCAAGAGTGGAACTGTTAATTAAGGATGGTATTGCAAGAATCCAAGAAAGGAATCTTGCCCTACTCTTCGTGGCAATGATTATGAAAAGAGACAGTTTCATGAGAGACAGATGTTTCTGGTTTGATCATCTAGCATACAGAGGAGAAGGTGCTGTGTACTGAGATGATAGTGTCTTGAGGAGTCTTGGCATTTGTTTGAGAAAAAGTGTGACATGGCCTGTTCACATCAAGAGTGCCCAATTTTCTCTCTCAGCTGCGTGGAGAGTTAGTGCTTTGTGGTATTGATAGCGATGGCAAAGTGAGTTTGTGTCCTCTTGGCAATCTTAACTGGGCTTTCATTACCCAAAGACACATATTTTACCATAAATTTTATACTTTTTCTCTTCTATAGTAACATAGGTATTTATAATTTTAAAAAGATCATCTGATAGTTTGTTTTGTTTATATAGCAGTATATCAGGGGTTGAAGAAGGCCTGTGTGATGAGGTGCCTTTTAACTGGAATTTTCAGTTTTATTCCCTGGGTTAGAATTCTTTCTTATGCCAGCTGTGTGACCCTAGATATGCCACTAATTTTACCTGCATTCCTACAGTCTTCCTCTGTTAAATGAGAAGTATCTTAGTCTGTATCAGCAGCAGAATACCTTAGCCTAAGCAATTTAGGTAATGTGCAGAAATTTATTGCTTCCCAGTTTTGGAAGCTAGGAAGTCTGTTACCAAGGTGCCAACGTCTGACAACATGGTAGAAGAGTACCAGAGCAAGAAGGGAGAATCTTTCGGTGATAACTCTTCTTAAAGATTTTAAAAGCAGGATGTGATGGCACATGCCTGTAATCCTAACACTCAGAGGCTGAGGCAGCAGAATTGCTGGGAGTTTGAGGCCAGCCTGAACTACAGAGTGAGTTCAAGGCCAGCCTGGACAGCAACACCTTGTCTCAAAAAAACAAAACATCTAAAAAAAGGTCTTAAAGTCTTCTTAATATATTTAAATTTGAGCAAAAGTATAATAGTGATTAATTTTTATGGTTATTATAAGAATTAAATAAGTCAAACATTACAAGACATGGTTTTTAGTAAGAGCCCATTTAGCTTATTCAGTTACTGAGATATTTGTGTAGCATTCAAATATTATTATTAAATATTGGTCTGTTTTCCTGGGATGCAATATTGAGTAAAATTGAAAAAGTGATAAAATACAGAAAAATTCTTTTTTTTTTTTTTTTGTCTTTTTCGTTTTTATCGGTACCAGGGATCGAACTCACTTGCAAGGCAGGCGCTTATGCCGCTGAGCTAAATCCCCAGCCCCACAGAAAAATTTTTATGCTGCCTGGAATTTACTTTCTAGTTGGTGACTGGTAAAATAAATCGTGTTTTAGTCTCTGTGGTCTTCCTGGCACAGAGTTTCTAAAATTGTTATAGGTACTTGAATTACTCCTAATTCATGATCTCTTGTTGATCACATCAGTGTTGAAGCAAATGAGATGACTTAAACTTTAAATAGCCTCAGAATGGGACAAGGGACAAAAAGACCAAGTGATTAGAGGGTGTTTGTCCATTCTCATACCATGAGAGGAGGAAAAGCAAGGCTGGCGTTTCAGCTGTGTTAGAAACTTTTTCCATTTTTGTTTGTTTGCGACAGAGTCTCTGTGTAGTTCAGGCTAACCTTGAACTCACTATGTAGTCCAGGCTGACCTTGAATGTAGCATGATGCTCCTGCCTTAGCCTCCTAGTGATGTGATTACAGATGTGTGCACCATCATGCCCAGCTTCCATTAGAAATTCCTACACAAGGAGATGGAGCTGGGATGGCCAGTGGCTGGAGGCAGGAACCTTGTACCAGAGATCCCTTTATAGTTTGCCTGATGTACCTTTTCATTTGCGTTCATTTCTGTTATGTATTGTAGACTGATAAACATAAGTGTTTTTCTGAGTTCTGTGAGCCATTCTAGCAAGTAATTAAACTGGGAAGAGTTGTGGGAATCCCCAATTTGTAACTAGTTGGTCAGAAACATGGTTGACATGGGACCCGTCATTGACATTTGAACTGAGGTCAGTGTTGTGAACCTAAGCTCTTACCCTGTGGGTGGGTTCAGTGCTAAGTCCAAGTGGTTAATGTCAGATAACTAATGATGTCAGACAGACAGCTAGTACCAGTGTACAGATAATTAAATATGTAAAGTATTACTGAAAAGTGTTAAGATAAATAGAGCTGAGAACCTGGGTAGGAAATACCCAGGAAATACCCTTTTAGGAGATTGTTGAAATACTAGGGTGGGTAGGGGACTTCAGAACCTGAACTGAAGGGAAAATGAGAGCAAGTTGTGTTCTGAATGGCAGTGCAGAGGCCTGGGGGAGCCTGTTGGTGTTGCAGGAAGAGCAAGAAGGCCAGTGAGGCTGGAGCACAGAAAATGAAGGGAACAGAGCAGAAGGAGATAATAAGCAAAGAAAGGAGGGAGGATGTGATGAGTCATATATATTAGAACTGGCTTTTTCCAGAAGTAGAAGAGAATCTGTTGTGGGGTTTTGAGCAGAGGAGTGATATGAACAGATTGGTTTAAATATGGTTTCTTTAATCCTGCACTAGGAATATACACAGCCACATAAGGGCAGAAACAGGGACTTTGGAACTATTGCAGAAATTCACACGTAGATGGTGGGGATTTAGAACAAGATGGTGATAGGGAAGGAAAACCATAGAATTCAGAGAGTGTTTATGGTTAACTTTTTAATGTTGGGGAAGTACTTCACTCTGTGTCGTATTTTGCCATTCTTCTAATGGTATATTTCCCCAGCTATTGAAGAAAAAGTATTGGTTGGGCATGATGGTGCATGTCTGTAATCCCAGCTCTAGGGAGGGTGAGGCAGGAGGATCTCCATGAGTTCGAGGTCTGCTTGGGCTACCTAGTGAACTCCAGGCCATCCTCCACTACACAGTGAGACACTGTCTCTGAAACCACCCCCTCAAAAAAAAGTATTAATAAAAATTGCTTCTAGGAGCCAGATGTGTTACTGCACGCCTGTAATCCCAGCACCTGGGAGGTAGAGGCGAGGAGGATATCGAGTTAGAGGCCAGTTTGGGCTACATAATGAGTTCAGGGTTCAAGGACTACATGTTTATGATAATACTTTTGATTCATAGATGAAGAATAATAAACCTGAAAGTAGTAAATGAGTGCTTGTTGTTTTTAACATGTAATGTGTATGTGTGTGGGGTGGTACTGGAATCAAACACAGGGCCTGGAACCGGCGAGGCAAGGTTCCGAACAGCCTCTTTAACCTGATGCTTTTAATTCTGAAGTCAGGAGTTCTGGCAAAGGACACTGGAGGAATAGTAGAAAGTGAGTTCTAGGCACTTTTTAAGGCTTGGAAAAAAAATTGTGATTAGATGAAAAGGTTGTCATTTTTACACTGGTTTTTTTTTCCCTATTTGCCTGTTTACCATTGTTTTTCTATAGGAAATCTATTGTCTCTCTGCTGTTCTGACACCCTTCACTCAAATTATAGTCCAAGTGCAGAGTGTGGTGGTGCATGCCTACCATCCTAGCACTCAGGAGGCTGAAGCAGGAAGATTGCCACCAGTGGGACACCAGCCTGGATTACATAGTGAGACCTGGTCTCAAAAAACAAAATCCTCAAAATACAACTACTAATAAAATAGAGTAGTTAAATAACGAAAATTAAATGAATATGCTGTATCTCTCAAGATAACATTGCCTGTTGTGTATTAGGGTGACGGACTGGAAGGAGACTGCAGATCAGGAAGTGTTATATGTCAAAATTGCTGTGTGCAGCCTGGGATTTAGTTTAGTAGCATAAGTGGCCACCTGGCAAGCACAAGGTCATGAGTTCCATCTGTGGTATCAAAAAAAAATTGCTACATTCAACAGAATTATGCTCACTTTAGAAATTTTGGAAAATAATAGTGTAGGTGAAATAAAATTCCTGTGATTGTGCTCTCCAGAGATAATGCTGTTAACACTTTATATTTTTCATCTCTATTGATCTTTTTGTACTTTGTGATAGTTAAATTATACTGTATATGTTAATTCTAAAGTTTTTTGTGTCATGAGGTTTGAACCCAGGATCTGGAGTGTGCTAGGAAAGAGCTTTACCACTATACTACTCCCCTAGCCCTTACAGGTTGAATTCCTGTTTGTTCATTTAGAACTCTATGAAATTTTTTATGCTACGTATTTTCTGTATTTTTATTTATTGACGTCGTCTTTTGTGATGGGGTCTGCCTGTGTTGCCTAGGCTTGCCTCAAACCAGCAATTGTCTCCTGCCTCAGCTTCCTAAGCAGCTGGAGTTACAGGCATGTGCTACTGCACACAGCACATTTTTAGTAGTTTTAATGACTTTGTAGTATAAACTTTGTGTATGTCTTATGTTGGGTATTATTTCTTTTTTGTTGTTATTGCCAGAAACAATACCATTGTTTCCATCCTTCGTTGTTAACTCTTTATCAAGTGAAATTGCTGAGTTGGTGTTAAAGTGCATTTTTGGTGCTTGAAAAGTAACTAGAAGCCTGGGTGCAATATAAGACTAATGGTGTGAAACACAGATTGATGTCCTTTAGGACCTCATTAGTCCTTGTATTTGTCTTTGGAAAGTACCATGTTATGTCAAAACCTTTTCATATTGTTGAACACCCTAGTTGATCTTACTTTCTTTGCTATGTGATGATTTCTTTGCTTTCATCAAGCACTGCTTATCCAAACATCCACTCCAGAATGGTAACAATAAAACATAACAAAGTAAAACTTCGTGGCAGCAGTGGTGCCACACCAGTGATACCGGCACTCCCAGGGATAACTGGGAGGCTGAGGCAGGAGAATCACAAATTGAAGCTTAGCTGGGCAGTTTAGAGATGTAGTGAGACCCTTTCTCCTGTCATTCTTTTTTTTTTTTTTTTTTTTTTCTTCCTGGTACCAGGATTGAACTCACAACCTCAGGCTTGAGACTCTCAAAAAATTACAGAAGGGCAGGGAACATAGCCCACTGGGAAGCGCTGGGTTCTCAGTAGTATAGCAATGAAAAACAGTAACTTTTAATTCTTTCTTTTCTTTTTGCGTCCCCTTCACCCCCACCAACCCTCTTGTTTTTTCATCATACCACACTAGGCAAGTGCTCTACCTCTGAGCTGCATCCACAGTCATTTTAAATGTTTGGCTGATTGTTGATGGATTAGCACTGTATGAGAGTACTTTATATGATGAGAAGGGGAAACTATAAAACACAACCTCATTTTGTGAATCATAATGCTTAGTTCAATGATGATACTGATTCGAATAAAAAGGTACATTTTTTCTCATTCATACTGAAATGTCATTTTCTTATTTAAGAATACCATTAAGGATAGAATTTTTCAGCATTTTTTAAACTTCACATGACTAACCTCAGTGAAACTAGAATTTAAGAATATATGTAATTTTTATTTTATAGGAAAAAAGTTACACAATTTTGTAGTAAAATAATGGAATAAGAATAGTTAATATATTACATGTTGTTGTCTTTAAAGTAGTTACTCAGAGTATAAGATATGGGTGGGCATAAAATTTCTCCAGTCAGTATTAGCACATACATTCCTTTTTTTTTTTTTTTTTTTTTTTTGGTACTGGGATTGAACTCATGACCTTGCACTTAACTAGGCAAGCGCTTGAGCCACTCAGCTAAATCCCCAGCCCTACATTCCTTTTTTAATAAACTAAGAGAATCTTAATGGTACAACTGACTTGCATTTCCCCCCCATCCTTTCTTCCCCATCCTTTTTCCTTTTTCCATTTGAACAGTTTCTTCCCACTTCACAGTATCTATTGTATATTTTAGACCTTATTTACTCTTTTGACTTCTCATGCAAGGGATCCAATATGATGTTTACAAATGTGAGTCTGATTTATTTCACTTATGAATGTGGTCTCAGATTGTATCCATTTACCTATAAAAAGTCTCCTGTGTCCTTCTTTATGACTGAGTAATACTCCACTGTATAAAAAGACTGCATCTTTTTTATCGATTCTTCAGTTGATTGGGAGCTTAATATTTTTATCAATTATATTTTAAGTATTAAAAAATCAGTCTTAAGATTTGAAAATTTGATAATGGTCATAAACACTCTTCAAGTGTCTCAATAATGTTACTTTTTGGTACTGTTTGGTTAACTTAATCTTTTACAGCCTGCACTTAATTTAAGGGACCTTGCATTATCTGAATTAAAAATTGGACAAATTGACCAACTGGTAGAAAATCTACTTCCTGGATTTTACAGGGGCAAAAGTGTTTCTTCCCACTTGCACATATCTCATGTCTCTGCACAGTCCTTCTTTAAAAATAAATATGATATGTTTATATATTTTTGGTTTTAATAAATATGCCATTTAAGTATTATAAAAAACAGAAATTATTTATTAGCATTTACTATAGGCCAGGTTCTTAAAGTTTTCTCTTTTTTTCTGGTATTTTTCATGTTCAAACAATGTTAGATTTACAGAAAAATTTCAAAGATAGTGTCAAGAATTTTTGTATATTCTGCCCCTTCCCTTAATTTTGACATCTTCCATAATCATGGTACATTTATTTATTAAAAAATTCGCATTGATATATATGTAGTATGTATGTGTATATATTATATATATAGTGTATGTATGTATATGTATGTGTATATATATATATATATATATATATATATATATATATTTATTTGTGAAACTGGGGATTGAATCCAGGACCTTTGCACTGAGTTATGTCCCTAACTGGTTTCTATTTTTTGAGACCAGAATCTTACTAAATTGCTGAGTGGTCCAAACTGGCCTCTAACTTTGGATCCTCCTGCCTCAGTCTTCCAGCAGAGCTGGGATTACAAGGTGTGCACCACCATTACTGGTTTGGAACAGTGTTTTTAATTAAGTGTGAACTGTTTGGATTTCAGCAAAATTGTCTTCAAATCACTTTTTTGAATTACTGTTGATACTCTGTTCTGGCATCTAAAGCACTATACCATATCGTATTTAGAGAAAGGTGTTTCATTTATTTGTTTGTTTTATTAGACTGGGTCTCATTGTGTAGTTCGGGCTGGCCTTGAACTCACTTTGTAGCTCAGGCTGGCTTCAAACTTGAAGCGATCTTGCCTCAGCCTCCTGAGTGCTGGGATTTCAGGAGTATGCCACCACAACTGGGGAAGAATGTGTTTTTGTTGTCCTTATTTTAACTACAGTGATAATACATTGATAAAGAAATGTTCCTTGTACAAGATGTCTACATTTTTTTTGAAGCTTTTCACAACCTGACATAATAAGTAGGTTACACTGTAGTCTTGTCAGTGTAGCTTTCAGAATATCTTTTTGGATAATATGTAAGGAATATTGGTGCTTCATCAAAGTATCTATGTCATATTAATAGAAAAGCAGATTTTAAAATTAGTACATTTTATAAAAGTCCAGTAATAAAAGAATAGGTTTGAATAGTTGATGATTTGAAGTTATACCTTGCATAAACAATTCATTTGCGAATTCTTTTCTTTGGTCTTTTATGCAATATGAAGAATCAAAGAATACAAGAGTGAAGGGAAAAATGGTTTTGTGACTGGGGACTCAGATTGACAGTCCTTTTTTATTGTCTATATAAAACTTGAAGCGCTTGCTGTGTGTTGTGTTCAATAGGATAAACTTTTTAGTATTATTTTTAATATTGCCCTTCTAATCTGCGGTATGTAATTTTAACTTAATACATATCAACAATAGCTACTATTTATTGGCTGCATAGCAAGTCCCTAACATCTAAGAAGTAGGAAAGGGTTGACGAATTACTTAAGAGGAGGAATTGGAAAGGATCACTGTACTCATGCTCACAGCTTTGGAGGGAACTATTTTTGTACTCACTGGTTATGAAAACTTGAAAGATAGCAATAGCTATAGTTTGCTTTTTTTTTTTTTTAATCACTGAGGCTTTTGAAATTGTCTCTAAGGAAGAGCAATTTCTTTATGTTCTAAAGGTAATTTTAACTTAAACATATATACTTTATACCTGTATTGATTGGAATTTAGTTTTGGCAGCTATATATCAGATGTACAAGTAATGTGTTAAGTGACAGTAACATGAAGAGCTCTTTTATTTATATTTAAAGTTTTTATTATTTTGAAGGTGGTAAAATATGTCAGAACAAAGCCTATTGAGACAGTGCAGTGAAATTGGTACAGAACTTCACCGCAGGTTACCGGGATAACAGTAATAAGTAAAGTAGTATATCTCGTTATCTTCACAATAGTTGTTTTTTCAATCAGGTATAACAAAATCAAACGAAATACAGAACATTGTAAAACTTATGAAAACAGAATATTGAATACAGCTAATCAGAACAAAGCAAAACAGTGATAACAATATTTGCCTTCAAAGAGATTATAGAAGGAAATTCCCTTTATTTGCTATATTGCATATGGTCAACCTCCCAAGAGATGCTCACACCTCTGGCTCCCATTTGCTAATGAAGGTGGTGGAATAGGATGTTTAATTCTCAGCCCGCACACCTGTGTGGCTCATAACTGCTTAGCCAGGGAGGTGAGCTGGTTGCTTGGTTTCCTAGCACCCTAAGTTCCAACATAGTGCGAATATCAAGAGATGCTGGGTGGTTCTATCTCCGGGGCAGCCACAGCTTGCCTGAGCCGGTTGGTTGGTATCCTAGCACCCAAGTTCCAACATGGTCCACACCATGGTCCTGGGAGGTGCTGGTGGTTGTCTCCCTGGGGTGGCTGCAGTTTGCCTGAGCCACAGCTGCTTACCAGGGAGGCGAGCTGGGTCAGCCCTTTAAAGTAATTAAATTAATGATACTTCAGATATTTTTATGAGAGTAAGGTCATATCACAGACCAAAAGTTATGAAACTCATATTGTGACTTTTCTAATAGTTGATAAGAATTCTTAATACTTCATGTGATTTTTATGTTTTTGGTATGGAAAAGCTAGAAATTTACTTTTAGCAATTTCCCTCCAGGTCTTTACGTTCCACTTGCTTGTTTTGACAACATCCAAGAACCCTTCAGCGAATTTGTTTAGAACTTTGGTACTGGCCAGGTATGAAGCAACACTTGTAATTGTTTTGAGAAATATAATAGGTTACTTAACATTTTAAGATTTGTTTTAATGATGCTAATGATTATGACCACCCGTTTGCAATAGACAGTAGGACTTAAGAGTGTTTGAAATTTATCAGTTTAGATAGTTCTATGTTATTTTAAATCAGGAAAATGTACAATAAGAGCTATAGATTTTTTTTTGTACTGGGGATTGAATTTACAACCTGGAATGTGACAGGCAAGTGCTTGAGCCACTGAGCTAAATTCCCCAGTCCCAGATTGCCAAAAATAGGAACATGAAGAATCTCCATTTCTGTCTTTAAACAAGTTAGCAGTGAGCAGCACTCACAGCAGATAGGTTTCTTCAACAGTACTGTGTAGTAAATGTATGTGAGCTGCAAATCACAGACTACCGTGAATAAGCATGACACTACAGGTGTGTGTGTGATTCATGACTGAAGCAACTTGTTTGTGTCTGACATCAGTGCTCAATCCAGGAATTTCCAGACAGGTTCCCGTAGACACATGCACATTCACATTTACTCCTCACTGCAATGTACTTTTTTTGCCAATTGTAGCCTAAAGTTAAGCCACATCTGCTGTAGGATTGACCCAGTTTTGAGATGGAATTTTGTTAAGTGGCTCATGCTGGCTTCACACTTTGTCTTTTTGCTCCAGTCTGTTGAGTAAATGGGATTCTGGGCATGTACACTACATGTGTTGGTGTGGTGTTTTGTTTTGTTTTGTTTTGATTGAGACAAGGTCTCACTGTATAGTGCAGGCTGGCCTTAAACTTGCTTATGTAACCCAGGCTGGCCTCAAACTCACGGTGATCCTCCTGGCTCAGCCTCCTCAGTGCTGGGATTATAGGCATGTGCCACCAATGCTTGGCCCAGCCATGTGAAAGAATAAAAGTATGTTGAAATAATTAGATGCAAGTTAGCAAAATTGACCCACGAACAGATAAGATAACTGTAAATTGAAGGATAATAATCTAAAGAAAATATCCTTAGTTCAAAGTTCAGGTAATGTTTGTTTGTTTTTAGTAGTGCCAGGGTGGACTTAAACTAGCTTATATCTCCGCCTCCTGAGTGTTCAGATGATTTTCTAGTTAGATTCTTTAGAATGATAAATTTCCTGTTGTTTTAAAAGATTTTTTTAAAATAAGTCAGTACATGCAGTTATGACTAGCTGCTAGGTAGTCTGAAGCAGAAAAATCAAATGTTTGAAGCCTGCTTGGGGTACATAGTGAGACACCATGCTGAACAAGCACTTTACCACTAACCTATAGTCAGTCCCAACCCTAAAAGTTTAGTAAAAAGATAGCTGGGCATGATGGCATGTGCCCTCCAGGCTTCTATGGAAGCTGAGGTTAGATCATCACTTTAGTCCATGAGTTTATGGTTACTTTTGGCTACATGGCAAGACCTTATAGTTTTCCTTACTTAGGTTATAAAGTTGCTGCTGTTACTAAAACTGATCATTGTTAGCAGAAAAAAGAATGCAGTATGTCAGTTTCTTAATAAATATCAAAATCCTAAATAAAATCTGACAAAACCAAGTCTAGACATTTGCTTAAAAAAAATCAATGATGAAGGAATACAGATATAATTTTACATGAACAAATTGTTAATTCGTGTTGATTAGAAAAGGAAAATGCTATGATTTCGTGTGACTTACTTTAATTCTTATGCTTCCTGAAAATTCTTAGAAAATGGAAGAAAACCTTTAAGATTTCTTAACATCTGTTATATTGCCATTAGTGTGAGAAATGATGTCTAGTGCCCTGTTTTTAGACAGGATTTTTGGATTCTGAGCAATATGTTTGTGTGTGGCGTCTGGTAAGGACCTCCTGGTGGATTGCATTGCAAGACCTTTCATTCCTAGTGGTTAGTTTTTTAGGGTTTTAGAGAATGATACATGTGGGATGATCAAATTTTAGCATCATGTAAGATTTTATAATAACAATAGAAGGCAGTCTTGTGTTTCAAAGACAAGTCCATAAATTGAATTTTTCTTAAAATAATCAAATGAATCCAGTATCTTTTCAGTTTGCAGTTCTGAAATACAATTATAAATACTAGATTTAGGTGGTTCCAATTACTTTCTCAGCTATCACTCAGTTTTTACCATATGTTCATTCTCTGTAATTATCTAAGATCCTTAAACACTTTATTAAAAGGCTCAAACTGTGTGTCCATTCTGGAATTACTGTTTTATATATGTATTCTCCCATTTGTGTGGTCTTGATGTGTTAAGCATTTCTTGTTATTGGTGTTTTCTCTTTTTGCCTCAGGGATTGAACCCAAGACCTGCATTCAGGTATGTCTACAGTCCTTTTTTTCCTGTTTTTTATTTTGAGACAGAGTCTCACTGACTTGTTCAGGTCCCTTGAGCTTGAGATCCTGCTGTCCCAGTCTCCCAGAATGTTGAGATTAAAGACAAGTGCCAGTAAGGATTTATTTCTTTTGCCTTATTTTTTGCCTTTAAATTTCACTGCATGTTAGTGGCAACAATTTAGTCTCATGAAGTTATTAGAAAATCACCTTTTTTTTTGGTACCAGGGATTGAACTCATGGCCTGGTGTTTGCCATGCAGGCATTTATGCCACTGAGCTAAACCTCTGGCTAGAAATCACTCTTTACTCATTTGTATCTGCTCTACTTGAGAACGTGGACCTGAGGAGCAATTTTTTTGTTGTTTATTTTTCCTTTTGCCTTTATTTGGATTATTTAGATACATTTTTATTCTATCTAAGCAACCTTCATTTTTGCCCCATAACACTGTTTTTAGATAATGTATTAAAATTTTAAATTTTAAAAGTTTACTTTAAATTAATATTATTTGGCTTCCAATTAACCAAATCTTATAACTATATAAATCTACCATCCTCTCCTACACTTCCCTACATGTTACCTTTATCATATGTGAAAGAGTTGCTGGCCCAGATGGAACACTGTAACCAGAAAAGGCTGCAGCTAAACTCCCCCCCCCGCCCCCTATGGACTTGATTGTAACCCTATATCCCCATCCTTAAGAACCTGTGCGCCAATGAGATACCTATGCATCTCTAATGGCCTTAGGGTGCTGCCCTAAGCTTAGGCTATTTAGATTCCCCCACGCCACGTGTCAGAGAGAGAGTTCACCAGAGAGAGAGCTCGCCGGATTCCAGCGGCCAGCGCCGGCCAGCACGCCAGTCTCCACTCCCTGTGTTCCCGGAGAGACCACCGGCCCCGGGTGCAGAGACCTACCACAGACTTTTTCCGCTCTCCTCATCCCATCCTCCCCCTTCTCTCAGACCTAACAGATGGTGCCCTGTGACTCGGCGGCAGGTGAGAGACTATAATTTTTCCACTTTTGTTTTATAGTCCCCTGCTGATCAAACTTCTTCACTTCTACAGTCACAAATCCACTACAACCCTGGTGAGTAACTCCCCTGATAACTTTTAAAACAGGCTGTTTCTTTCCCAGCGTGCGCTCTTTCCTCCCTGTGTCCCCGACCCGCGCGCCCTTCTTCCGGCTCCCGCGCACAGCCTCGGCGCCGCCGGTCCCACAGTCATGGGACGGCCTCCCGCGTGGCCCGAGAGGCCTAGACACCCCAGGGGGGGGGCCTGCGCCTGGCGCCTCTCCCTCCCCCCCCCTCTAACCACGTTATAGCTCCCTTTCTTTCGCCGGCGCAGCGGCTCTGGGCGCGAGCCCGGGCCCTTTACAAAACTTTTAAAGCAGCTTTCTTTCCCAGCGCGGCTCCTCTCCCTCCCCGCTGCGCGCCTCCTCCGCGCCGCCGGTCCCACAGTCATGGGACGGCCTCCCGCGTGGCCCGCGAGGCCTAGTCACCCCAGGGGGGGCCCGCGCCCGGCTCCTCTGCGCCCAGCGCCTCTCCCTCCCCCCTCCAACCACGTTATAGCTCCCTTTCTTTCGCCGGCACAGCGGCTCTGGGCGCGAGTGTGGCCCTTCCCATAGATCTCCTCCGCCCGCGCCCGGCTCCTCTGCACCCGGGCTCCGCCGTTCTGCCAAGGTTAAATGAGACCAGACAATGAGACCAGACAATGAGACCAGAGATTCACATCAAACTGCTTTTGATTTTAAAAACAGCCTTTTTTCTTTCTTTTCGCTCTCACATTGCTTTCCAATTCTGTGGGCCTCGTGGCTTTGGCCTCCAGCCCAGCCCATTTCCTGTTTCACCACCCGCGCGGCCACACGGCGGCAGCGTCCCGCAGCGTCCCTGCGCCGCCATACCCCGCCCGCCATAGCCGCCCAAAAGCCGTCGCTTTCACAGCGCGCCGGGGTCTAGAGCGGCCCGTGAGCTTTTCACAACAAAGCCCGCCTAACTTCACGCTGTGCCTCTCCCGCGGCCACAGCATACTACTCGCCCTGCTCCACGCAGCAAGCAAGCCGTGCCTCTGACTGCCTCTGCCGCCACCCCGCCCCGCCCCTCCGGGGCGCGGCCACCCCCTCTGTCGCCCGCCTTGGCCGTCGCCCCGCCCCTCCGGGGGACCGAACGTGAGCCACAGCTCCCATTGGCGCCAGGCGTCAACTGGGATCACCACTCGGGGCCTCCAAGCCCCACCCCCTTACGCGGTCGCAGCGAAACCACGTCATTTCCCTGCGCCGCTTAGCGCGTCACAGTAAGCCTCCGTTCTCTGCTTACGGTATCCCGCGTTCGCCCTGCCCACTCTACACGGCCCGCCCCTCCGCGGTACCGGGCAACAGGCTGCCACTGCTGCCTCACGACAACCAAACACGCGCTGGGCGCGTGCCACAGATCTCAGTGTTTCAACCTGCCTTTAATACTACACATTTCCAAAGTCTCACGGCCTTGCCCAAACTTTTTTTACAGTTCAGTTCCACTCGAGAGAGGCTATTTTTTTTTTTCCTTTTTTTTCTTACAGTTTTTCTACCATTTGTTCACTATTGCTGGCCACCTGATAATTTTACCAACCTGCCTGCCTTATAATCTTAAATGCTGATATTAAATTCCTACATACTTACTTAAGTCTACTATAGTCCAAATCCCAAACAAAAAGGCAAAACTTGACCTTCAAACCTTATAGAGATCTTAATATGGTTTTTCATATTTTTAACACTTGTGACACTTGGAGTTCTGAGACAGGTAAACCTACACAAGGTGGAGCTGCCTGCCCCCTCCATGGACCACGCTCAAATGCAGCAGAAGACGCCCCATCCTGGCATTCTTTGAGACCTTACTCCAGGGCTACTGGACTGTCCTAGCCACCAGAGAGTGGGTAAGTCATCCTAAGTAATAGCCCTTAAAAAAATATCGACATTGCCAGATTCGTCACCGACAGAAAATCGCTGCTAGAGGCTGAGGGGGTTCAGGACAACAACAGCCCCCTTTAAAGTGTCCGTCTCAGATTCCAAGTCGCACTACAGTCTCAGGTAAGATATTCTCTATATTTGTGGACATAGAGGCCATATATACAGGATTCTTCCTGAGTATTCAGGTTGCTATATTAAATCAATCTCTATGACATGGTATTGATGGTCAACCTATGCCATTTACAAACAGGCCCATTTTTATACAGGTCCCAGTCCTAAATCATAAAATGCTTTTATTCCCTTTTAAACTGCCATTCTGGTTTCACATCACTCAGGCCCTAGATCTAACCATCCTTTTGATGCTCATCTCTGCCTTATGACTCACAGGTTGTCATGTTTTGTTGTCGAGTTTGATTCTTAATTTCTCACATTCTATTAATGATCATTTCTATAGCAGGAGTCCCTAACACGATTGCTTACAGTCTCCAACATCATATATACCAGAGTCAAGCCTTACCTACCTACCTTTTAACTTTTATGCTTTCATAGGGGGAGTAAACACATCTCATAACTTCACTCCTCCTAATCCCACGTTTATTTTTCAGAATTCTGCCTTGCCACCTCAACGTCACCCTGATAAAATACCATCTCAAAACCAAAGTCACCTTCCTATCTACCTCATCTGGGTCCTTAAATATAATAGTGCCATCTCTCCTAATGACATTATGTCTCTTTGTTTTTCCAGTCTGACATACATACATTCACCAGTGAAGTTGTCCTGGCTAAAACACCTGGCATCAGTGTCTACCTGGACATCAACCTTCATCCCGTCGAACTCCCCTAGACCCCCAATACAGCGCCCTCAGCCAGCAGGAAGTAGTTACAGAGAGAGATCTTCGCCCCTTTTCCTAATAACCAGAAGACGGGATATGAAAGAGTTGCTGGCCCAGATGGAACACTGTAACCAGAAAAGGCTGCAGCTAAACTCCCCCCCCCCGCCCCCTATGGACTTGATTGTAACCCTATATCCCCATCCTTAAGAACCTGTGCACCAATGAGATACCTATGCATCTCTAATGGCCTTAGGGTGCTGCCCTAAGCTTAGGCTATTTAAATTCCCCCACGCCACGTGTCAGAGAGAGAGTTCACCAGAGAGAGAGTTCGCCAGAGAGAGAGAGCTCGCCAGATTCCAGCGGCCAGCGCCGGCCAGCGCGCCAGTCTCCATTCCCCGTGTTCCCGGAGAGACCACAGCCCGGCCCCGGGCTCGGTGCAGAGATGCTGCGCCCCGGGGCCGGCGGCGGGGGGCCCCCTCCCTGCATTCCCGGAATAAAGTCACCGCTGCCCACTACTTTCACGGCTGTCCACTCCGCTCCATTCCTCCCACGGACTTCTCCTCTCCTCCCCCTTCTCTCAGACCTAACAATATGAATTGGATCTATGTATGATAAACCCCACCAAATAACTATCTTTTTATTTCAAAAAGTCCACCAAATGACTGTATTTTTTTCAAACAGCCCTATGTCCTTTTGATACAGGGGAGTGAAACTCCCAGCCTACTATATGTCACTGTAAGTTCCTGTTCTTCAAAATTTAAGAATGAATTTTAGGAACAGTGGAGGTTAAGAGTAGCAATATTTATTGAGAGAAAGAAATTTTTTGTTGTAGAGAGACAGATGAGGTTCTGAGTGGGTTGTCTGAGGAGCAATTTTAAAAAGCCCTATAGTGGTTGTTCAGAATGACTCTTAATTATTTTATCTTACCAAACTCTTCCTTTAAAATGTCATTACTGAAGTGTGGGGGATGAGGAGTCACTTTGAAGGCCCTGGCCCCCTCGGGACCTGCAGTAAACAATAGCCCCCAGTATGTGAGACAGAGATGGGACAGGAATGCCTGATCTCAGTGGGGGAAAATGTTCCCTCCCTCTCAACCCATGCTGTGTGACTTGGCTTTGTTTGCAGAGTCATGAGGAAGTGGCCGACCACCATTGTGACACTAAAGAACAAATATAATCAAAAACATTCTTAGGCTAATGGAGTTCCTCCTGGGCTAGTGGGGCTAGAAGAACTGGTTTTGCTTGTTTGCTTAACATAGATAGTTCAGATAAACATTGTAGTCTGTCACAAAGCTTGTCACAAAGAATGCTTTTTCAAGATAATCGTCTGTGTTTTGTGAATTGATCTGGTTTACTGTATAAGACCCTAAAAATAAAGCACAGCGTGCAGTGCAGTGCAGTGCAGTTGCAATTGCCGTGTCTCTCTTTCTTTTCCTCGCGCTGCACCCCCCGTGTCCCGATTTGGTGTGTGTGTGCCTCTTCCCGGGGTTCAGAGTGCACTAGACACTCTCAACACTGAAGAATACTTGAAAAGTGAAATAATTCTTTTCTTTTGTCTTATTAAATGAATGGGCCAGTTTTTTATGCTGTGTCTAAGGCAGTTTATTTCACAATATAGATCTGTAACCAGGTGTGTCAGAATAATTAAAGGTGCTCATTAACAATGCAACCTCCTGGGCTCTCTTTCAACTCTGCAATCCATTAGTGTGTAACAGTGTTTTAGAGATTTGCATTTTAACACAGTTTTCAAGGAATTTTTTAATTCAAACTGAAGCTGGGTGTGGTGGCGTGTGCCTGTAGTCCCAGCTACTCGGGAGTCTGAGATGGGGAGGATTGCTTGAGTCCAGGAGTTCTGGGCTGCAGTGTGCTATGCAGGTTGGGTGTCCGCACTAAGTTTGGCATCAATATGGTGACCTCCCAGGAGTCGAGGATCACCAGGTTGCCTAAGGAGCGGTGAACCAGCCCAGGTTGGAAACGGAGCAGGTCAAAACTCCTGTGCTGATCAGTAGTGTGATTGCGCCTGTGAATAGCCACTGCACTCCTGCCTGGGCAATATAGTGATACCCTGTCTTAAAAAAAAAAAATTCATACTGAAATTTGATAACTATTCACTTAAGGTTTCTATTAAGTATTATAAGAAGAGGAAAATAATTCTTGGTTTTAAATGAAAGTATGTGTCTTTTAATGTGAATCACTTGCTATTTGAATGTGATCTAGAAATCTAGAAGACCTAGTTTCTGTCCTGTACTTTGATTCAGTGTATTTGAACTGAGATTTCTCAGATGTTTAATTTTTGTAGTCTTTGCTTTCTTGCATCAAAAAATTAGGATGCTTGGAATTTTATTAATCTTTCAAATATTAACATCTATTTTCTTCCATTTAGTCTGCTTCTGGATTACTACAGAAGTTGATTGTGCAGTAGATCCTGTTCAGAGGAAAAATGTCACTTTTGAGCATGTTAAAAGGAGTAAGTTAAGATTTCTTCATCTTCTTTATACGTTTATGATACATAATTGATACCCTATATAAGGCCAGCATTTGATTCTCAAGGCTATTCTGGAATAGCTAAATTAAATTAAAAAAAATACTGGCAACCTTAGAATCTTTATGGGGACCTGAGTAAAGAGGATTAGGAGCCCTGGGAGAAGTGCTACATTTTAAAATCAGGGTTTTTGTTTTCCCCCAGTTTTTGGTCTTTTTGAGCCAGGGTTTCACTATGCATTTTAGGCTGGCCTTGAACTTGCAGTGATCTTCCTGCCTCCCCCTCCCAAGTTGCTGGGGTTATAGGCATGTGCCATCACATTCAGCCTTAAATAAAGGTATGTTTTTTTTTTTTTTTTTAATTTTATAAAGCAGAATTGAGAGAAAGAAAGCTTCTGTCTGGGAGAGAGACAGAAGAGGTCCCAAGTGGGTTACCCTTAAATAAGGTTTTTAAAGTTTGATTATGGAACTAAATAGGTAAAAAATAATAGGAGATATAAAGTTATACAGGAACACTTTGGATAGTATCTTAGAAGCCTTTATAAACACAGCCTTTTACTCTGAAAATTTGTTCCATTGAAGAATTTTGAACAGAGATATGGTATGGTTTTAACAGTCTAGTTGCTGTGTTGGTAGCCTAGCCTTGAAAGTCTAGAAAGTATAAAGTTAAATGACAGCCTGTTGCCGTCATCCAGTAAGAGATGATGTTGTCTCAGACAAACATTAAAGTGAAGTTGGTGAGATGTAGTTAGATCTTGAAGGTAGGTACAGTAGGATTCCCTGATTAGAAGTTAAAAGTATAAGAGAAAGATAGATCAAGAAGATTGCAAGGTACGAGCATTTACAGGAAGAGTTGCCATTTCTGAAATTAAAAAATTAGACTGTGGGTAGAAGCAATATTCGGAATAAAGATTAAAAATTCAGTAAGTATACAGATGAGAGCACTGAATATGCACTTGAATGCATCATTTAAGTCTTTGTGTTATTTATTTATTTATTTTGTCTTTTTGCTTTTTATCGATACCAGGGATCGAACTCATGACTCCCTGCTTGCAAGGCAGGTGCTTAGGCCACTGAGCTAAATCCCCAGCCCCAAGTCTATGTGTTTAAATGAGATTACCAAGCAAGTTGAGTATGACTGGCAAAGAGAAGAGGTCTAACCTTAAGCTTCAGAGTACTCCCAGGTTAATACACCAGAGGAGGGACCAGGAACAGAGAATGAGGAGCTGTCTGTATAGTAGTTGGGGAGGGAATAAACTAGAAGAAAATGTTTCCTCACCAGGGTGAGGGGCCAGCTGGCCCTGTGAGGTGGGTGGTCCATTGAGAGTTGAATTTCAGAGCCAGGAATTTAGCTCAGTAGCTCAAGTGCTTTCCTGGAAAGCACAAGGTCATGAGTTTAATCCCAGTACAAAAAAAAAAAAAAAAAAAGAGGGAGAGAGAATTGAATTTCATTTTAGCAGTGTGTGATTGGTGTACTTGATAATGAACAACTTCAGTGTGATAGCAGGTGTTAAATTGTGAATGTTAGGAATTTACAAAAAATAGATGAGGCAGAAAAGGCAATTAAATAATTCTTGAATTTTGTTTGAAAGGAGGCTCATAGACAACTCATCCCAACAGAAAATAAAGTAGGGAACTTGATTGTGAAACCAGAGTTAGGATCATCTGAGAATATGGAAGGAAGAGCAGTGTGTAATTTCTAGAAAAGGTAGAAAGTTTTGTGAGAGCTGGTGAGTGGATTAGGGAACTATGACTGTTAGAACCACTTAAATTTGGATCATTGATTTATATTAAGACCAGTCAACAAAAACACTTCTAATTTCAATTTTTTCTCCAAATATGCATTCTGAAATTTTAGTTTTGTATTGTGCTCTTTTGTATGCTTTACTAATCTGATATGCCTTTGATTTGGGGAATAATAGAGCCTGAGTAATTGTCTTTCAAGGAATGTTTAGTAAGAAATCTTTCTATAAGAAGAATTTGAAGTTCCCCACTTCCAACTCTGAAGTGGAATTTTAATAAGGGCTGTTGGCTGGGTGGCAGCTCGTGTGTGTAATCCCAGCTACCGAGCAGGCTGAGTCAGAAGGATTACAAATTAAAGCCAACCTGGGCAATCTAGCAAGCCCATATCTCAAAATAAAAAATTAAAAGGGTCAGATGTTTTCAATGGTAGAGCTGTCCAAGATTCATTCCCTTGAACAGGAGTCAAATCATTCAAATTTTTAAAAATTTAGCAAGGCCTGGGAATGAATCGGTAATTAGTGTTCATTAGATTCAATCCCTAGTGCCATCGCCACACATGCGCCTGTACAAAATTAATGTGGGCTTCTTATAATAATTCATTTTCTTGATCCTCTTGAGCGCCATTTTTAAAATAGATTTTATATTCTTCAGTTGGGAATACTTTGACCAAAAAGTTGAAAGAGAATGTAGTTAATTTGAAAAGTAAATATTTAATCTCTTGTTTTACTCTTTTCACTTTAATGTTGGCATTAAATCCATGAGGAGTATGTAGTCCCATCTGACTTCAAACTTGGGGCGATCTTTCTGCCTTCTGCCAGGTTTCAGAAGTATACTACCACACCTGGTTGATTATTTTGACCAGTTTTGTATCAGTCTTGTTTTCCTATGTGGTTGTCTTTGAATACTTTTTTAAAAATGTACTCTTTTTAAAAATTAATCAGCTACTAAATGAAATTTATTGTAGAATAATTTATATATTTGTGTATGGAAAGAACAAAAACGATTACATAATTAAAAATACAGTTAGGAACTTGGGAAGGAAGAAAGACATTAACACATCCTTGTAAAACATACACAAATCAAAGGCTTTTGAGTTTGGGAAAAAGTGTGACTAAAAGAACTGTATTATAGCAGTTTACATTGTCCTCAAATGTATTGTCTTTTGTTTTATTTATTTTTCTTATTTTTTTTGAGACAGAGTCTCACTATGGAGCTTAGGCTTGTCTTTGCAGTGCTGAGATTTCAAGGGTATGCCACTACATCTGACTCATTGTATGGGAAAAAAATGTAGTCTTTTAATAATGCAGCCAAGGGGGCTGGGGATTTAGCTCAGCGGCAAAAGTGCCTGCCTTGCAAGCGGGCAGTCGTGAGTTTGATCCCTGGTACCAATAAACAGGAAAAAGACAAAAAAAAAAAAAAAATGCAGCCAAGACGTTTTAAGCATAAATTTTTTGAATTGTAACATGTTTGCATATAGGTGCCCAAATCATAAATCATCACAAAGTGAGCACACCTATGTCAGTAGTGCCCAACTCAAGAGCAGGGAGAGTATTAACAGATCTCCAGAGCCTTTTAGTAGCTTCTTTCTACTTACTATTTCCTCCTGTCTCTGGATAGTCATTTTCCTGATATTTTTATTAGTTTTCCCTATTTCTGAGGTTGTTTTTTTTTGTTTTGTTTTTTGTTTTGTCTTTTTATCGGTACCAGGGATTGAACTCACGACTGCCTGCTTGCAAGGCAGGCGCTTATGCCACTGAGCTAAATCCCCAGCCCCAGGTTTTTTTTTTTTAATAGTTGTATTACCTGTAGAATGTGCCCTTTTGGGTTTGTCTTCTGTCATTGAGTGTGATGCTTTTGAGATCCAACCACATTATTTGCAGTTGTAGTTAATTTATCCTCACAGCACAGTAATGCCATTACACGAATACTGCAATACAGTATATTTATTTAGGTTTTTCAGTGATTGTTTCCAGTTTTGAACTCAAGTAACATTCTTGGTGAACCATATGTTTGCATTTCTTCTGGGCTTTGGAGTGAGCAGAACTTTGTTTTTAATGATTAACTTTGTGAACGTTTTAGTAAAAATTTTAAGGAGTGAATCAGTAACTTTCAGAGACCTACCAAGTCTAACAAAAACTAATCAAAAAACAAACCTTTCTGACTCTAGCAATTGTAATGTTTTCTAGG